AGAATTCCACTATAATTTATCAAGCTTAGTAACTAAGCTGTATTTCAGTCTAAAAAAATATGATTTAGAACAGACTAAAGACACATCCTACCTTCTTGAAATTTTGGTTCGAAAGAACGAGATGACATCCTAACACATGAAAATGGCTGAGAAAGCCACTAGGGAGACATTCTGAGCTTTCATTTGGTTTTTCACATGACATATTGAAGTAAGTGTAAATAAGGGACCGTTACCAAAAATGGAAAGAGGTGAGCACGGCCACTGTGTTTGATTCATTACATGAGTGATATATCAGCAAAGAGAAAAGGTGGAAGGTTCTTATTTTATATTCTAGCTAGTCAATATCGGTAATCTGAGTTCCTAATTTGTACGAAACTATAGACTTTGTATTTTGACATCACAAACATCTAATTTGAAACAGTGCTGCATTCAACATACTACGTGACACATAAAACTCAATGTTCAAGTGTATTTTTTAATATTTACTTTTAAATTAAGAAATTAAATAATGTATAATACTAAAATTTATAATTTACAGTTTGATACCAAATTTATTGACATAAATTCATGAAATAGTAGTTCAATAAAATTTTAAATATGATTTAACAAATGCGATGACATGGCCTTTGACCCATCTAGAAAGGGTTAATGCTAAAAGTATTATAAGAAAATGTACATACAGAAAATTACAATTTTATGAATTAGTGATTAATCATTGAAAGTTGGAAATTTTTTGAAGTACGCATTTTTATTTATTCTGTTGAACATCAGTGTTTTTAAGTCTGTTTTTATAGATATTATTTAAATGAAAATATATTTTAGAATATATTATGCAAAAAAAAAAGTTTTCTGTGTTCTTTAAATATAATCCAGTTATATTGAAACAGCTAATAGTGTTTCTTGTAACATTGCAATCCTTTCTGTTATAGTCTTTATTCAAATGCTTGCCTAGCTGGTCTGGCAATTGTTAAGACGTTTATTGTACAAATTCACATCAATAATGGACATTGATCGAGATATGCCTCCAGTTCCAAGAAAGAAATGTAATGGTATCAGTGTGAACAAAAATTTAATACAGAATGCAGTGTGAAGCTTCCAGTAATTACAATGTTGATTAAATCAGAATGTAACACATACTACCAACCACATGGTTAGATTTCTGACATAGCTAGAGGCATTATTGTGAAACACTAAAACTGGAGGCCACAACACTAAAGTAAATGATTTATCCACATCAAAGACATTAATGTGTTTTTTAACTCCGAAAAAAAAGCTCTCAACCATTTGATTGTAGGTGTATATGCATAAATATGCAACAATTACTTAGGAAAACGTAAATTTGTATTTATTGCAACATGATTTTCACTTAACTTACTTTTAGACTTCAATGTTAGTCAATAGTAATATGGCTGACATTTTGCACATGGTCAGCTCAAAACATTTCAGAGATCTGGCTGAGGTTTATTTCTATTTCACATTTTCATGTTGACATTTCTGTTGTTATTATTTATTTATTTTTGTGCTTTAATATAATACTTATATTTTTGCTACTTGTATGACTATTTTGAATATCACATTTTGGAAACTTACTAACACACAAATGACTTTTTCTGTTTCAGACATTACAGCTGCAGCTGTTGCCACCTTCAGGAAATGTGATACCTGCTAATAATGATGGATGTGTAACCCAGGTTATAAAAGTTTTAAACCCTACCAAAGTAAGAAACTGTTTTGATTTTCAAACGATTAAAGTAAAAAAATTGTTTCAGGATAAAAAAAAATTATCCTGGGTTTTGTGTGTGGTATTTGAAATGTTCTTTGTTTACCACAAGAAGCATGCAGTAATGTATATATATGAAGTCCAAAATCAGCATTGGTGTTGCTAATTGATTCTTCAGTAATTGTTCAGCAGACACACTGTTTGAAACGTTGTAGTGTTTTTAATCTCCACAGTTTTGTACAATCTTAGTGAAAGAGAAATGTGAGACCTAATTTCTTCTTTGAATATACCACATGGCATTGAGTTTAAATGTCACTGCTTTAAAGTCTTGATCTTATTCTTTAGTGGTTATTGTCGAGGAACTAAATTCCCCAAATTGTTTTAACTAGGTGACATTAGTCAGAGCCAGTGTGACTGGGCTTCACATTTTGTTTTCACTGAATTGCAAAAGGTGATTAAAGAAATTAACGTGAAGGAAAACTAATTCAAGACATACAAGTATATATTTCTTGATATTAAAATTGATCTGTACCTTAAAAGTTATTGTTATATTTATTTATATGAAGAAATGTTTATCCAACTATAAAACTTACAGTATTTTAGTTAGTATAAATACTGGTTAAAATTTAATTTTAGTTTGTATAATTTCTTAAGCTAAGGTAAAAAATAAAAAGTAATTTTTTAGGTGAAGTTTGAAGAATTTACTTCCATGATGTTTTTTATCTAAATGAAAATGTTCCTTTATTAAAAAATATTTAAAACAAAGGTATAAAAAGAAAATAATTTCTCAAATTATAAAGTAGCATGTGTTTTAATACTAATAATCTTAGTTAATTAATCTGTAACAGTATTTATATTTTTATGTTACCATCAGTTATACAGGATTCAGTGCTTGTAGTCATGTTTCCAAGTCCTGAAAATAGAGCAAAGTGTAAAATTGAGTACATATGAGATTAAGGTTATTCTGCTGAAATGAGTCTGCCATTTATTATTATTTCTGACAGTTATTTTGATTTAAAATTAATTATTTCAGAAGAAATAATTAACAATCATAGGTGCTCGAAGATTAAGCAATCCTCCTTCACCCCGCACGTGGACTAGAAGTATGGGCTTAAATTGAAGAACAGGAAATTAATACAAACAAGCTGTGTAAACTTAAAAAACAAAGGGGGGTAATTAAAAACCTAAATGGTCGATATAGGACAGATGGTCCATCAGGGCGGCGGGGATCTATAAATCCTATGCCAATAATTTTGATGTGGGGGGGGGGAACAGTAGTACCCAGAGAAAACCCACTTTCACTGGTAAGGACCAATCCGTTACCAGTGTCTGGTTAGCGAGAAAAAGTAAGTTGGAGGGTCAAAGTGAAGTCTGGTGCTGGGGGTTTGATGGGCAAAGTGAAGTCTGGTGCTCTCTGCCAATATTTCCTGTTCAAGATTATGATGTTTGCCCAGTTGGTATGATAGAGTGTTTTATATACACTAAAATAAATTTTGTATATTGTAGAGATAAAAACATTTAAAGTCATCATCTAAAGGAAGACCCATGTTTGATCCATTGAGGTGTCTTGTTTTTGTTTTTTTAAGGTCTGACCTGGGAGACTAAAATCAATCTGAATGGGTAGTATTATAAAGTTTCTTGCAGCAGCATCTGATGTATGTCTTAATACAGACTATACTTTCTGTAAGTCGCACTATTGTTAATGGTTCAATATGACAGAAACACCATCCAGCTGCTGCTTTCAATGTCTGATGACTGGTCTAATTGTTACTTGTTGAGAAGTGATAATAAAGAAAATCACTGATTCCAGTATTGAGTGAAAAGTCATCCCTCACACAGAACTCCAAATAAGATTATAAAAGATCTCAACCTCACAATAAACATTCATATTACACATCTCAAGTTATACATTGAAGATATTGAAACATACTGGATATTGAGGATCTCACAGGGAGACACTACCTTGAAAAGAAAACTGTATTTTTCCAACTGAGCTCTTACAGTTGGAAGAATTTTATACTCAATTCCTCTTACTTTAAGAATTTTTATGTCGAAAACAAAAATATCCCAGACATGGCACTCCAGAGCATGTGTCTCCAAACCAAGACATATAATGGTCACTAATCTATTTTCACCATTGCCACTGTAGAGCGTGTGTGACACATGGACACTACTGCTTTATAAAGGTTACTAGCGTATAGCCCATCAAAAATGTTGGGGCAAGTACTACCACCCCCATGCCATAGTATACCCTAACCTCACATTTCATAGCTAACTGAAATAAATAGATTTTGTGAAATCAAGGTTGACCAACAAAGAGGCAGAGAAATGCAGTCAAGGCAGTCAAACATCGGTAAATTCCTTTGTGAATCAATCAAAATTAAGATAATTCATGAAATGAATTTGTGGTGTATTCATAGAATAATTATTGGTAAAAATCAGTTAGATTAACAACTTCTAATATATAGAAAAGCCAGTGTGTTTTGGTAACACTATGTTCCAGCAATGGCTTTT